TTAGGAGGGAGAAACACAGTAGGGGAGGGCGGTTCATAAGAGCTAGGGAGGAGTTGGGCCTCTGCAGTTTGATAGGGGAGGAAACATGAATGCAGACAGGGCCGTAGCCAGGATTTTGTAATTCGGGAAGGGGCCTTTAAATAAGTTGGGGGGCACTGCTGTCACAAAATAAAAAATAAAATGAATATAACAAATTTTAAAACTCACTTTTGCAGCATGGTGGGGAGTCCTCTGGGTGGCCCAGAGAGTTGGGGGGCCTGGGGCTGCATGGAAGTCGGGGGGGGGCTTGGCAGGAAGTCAGGGGGCCAGGCCCCAAAATGCCCCACTGTAGCTACGGGCCGGAATGCAGAACAGATATTTCTTTGCTTGTTTTTAAAAAGGGCTTAGTAAAACATGGGGAGGTTGCCACTCCTTAGTGAGGCCGTAGCAGGTTCAGTCGCTGGCCTGTCCACTTAGGGTGGCAAACTCTGGTTGGGAAATACCTGGGGATTTTGGAGATGGAGCCTGAGGGGAGCGGGGTTTGGGGCATAATGCGACAGAGTCCAACATCCAAAGCAGCCATTTTCTCCAGGTGAACTGATCTCTGTCCCCTGGAGAGCAGTTGTAATAGCAAGAGATCTCCAGCCACGACCTTGGAGAATGGCAACCCTATGTCCACCTAACGCTGACTCTCAGCTCACACCCAGTGATGGTTCAGGAAGCTTAACTGGGGATTTACATGACATCCAGAATAACAAATTGTTGCTGGTTTGGGCTGCAGTGAGTGATGCTATCACGACCAGGGACAGAACTATGTGCTGTTAAACATTTCTAAAGCACAGCATACATATGAGCGGAGGAGTGTCCTTGCTGGCGGTGGAATGAAGTTCAGGCGGAGGTCTTGTGCCCATCCCTGCCGAGTTCCTTCCACAAACATTGCCCTTCCCAGCGTCCATCCCCCAAACCTCCAGGAATTTCCCAAGTCAAAGTTGGTACCCTTATCAGTGCTTTGTTGCAGAAGGGGTACTTTCTGTTGTGGGCGTTCACGGGCTGAGTACAAGCTCTGCATTTATTTATTTAATTCATTCCATGGCAGAGTGAGGATTAGGGGTGTGCATTTGGATCTACCTGAGACGAAAATATACCCAAAAAATACCTTATTGGTATTTTTCAGGTATGTTTCGGCATCCCAAAGGTATCTAGGGTTTTTCGGGAAAACCAAAAAAAAATCCAGAAAAAATCTCGGCTATATTCGGGAATTACTCGGAAAATCAGTAAAGCTGCAAAAAAACAGCTTCAAAAAACAGCTCCAGGAATTTCCCAGTCTGACACTGGCCATCTGAAAAAAATGGTGGCATTGGAGGGGGCACACTATAGCATCACAGTCCCACAGAGCTTCCCCCTGCCCCAAACTCCATCCTTCCCAAGGTCCACTTCCAAATCTCCAACTATTTCCCAGCCCAGTATTGGCACCACTAGATCTTCATCCATTTGTTGACATGCCAACATCTGTGGATATAGTATATCTAGATTTTAGTAAAGCATTTGACAAAGTTTCTCATGATATTCTTGAGGATAAGCTGGTTAAGTGTGGGTTGGATGGTGCAACCGTTGGATGGATTCACGGTTGGTTGAAAAATCATACCCAACGAGTGCTCATAAATGGCTCTGCGTCTATGCGGAGGGAAGTCTCAAGTGGAGTGCCGCAGGGCTCGGTCCTAGGCCCGGTGTTGTTCAATGTTTTTATAAATGACCTGGAGGAAGACATAGAGGGGATGCTTATCAGATTTGCAGATGACACGAAGCTGGGTGGGATTGCGAATTCTGAAGAAGACAGAGTCAGGAGTCAAAATGATCTAGATAGCCTGGAACAGTGGGCTGAGACAAATAAAATAAATTTCAATAGAGAGAAGTGGAAAGTCCTACACTTAGGTACAAAAAAATCAAAGGCACAGATATAGAATGGGAGGGACTTGGCTTGCCAGCAGCACGTGTGAAAGGGATCTGGGTGTTCTGGTTGATCACAAGCTATACATAAGCCTGCAGTGCAATGTGGCTGTGAAGAAAGCCAATGCAATCTTAGGATGCATTAACAGAAGCATTGTGTCCAGATCAAGGGAGGTGGTAGTTCCGCTCTATTCTGCTATGGTCAGGCCCCACCTGGAGTACTGTGTCCAGTTTTGGGCACCACATTTTAGGAAGGATGTTGGCAAGCTCGAGCATGTCCAGAAGAGGGCAACCAGGATGGTGAGAGGGTTTGAATCCAAGTCTTATGAGGAAAGGCTGAAAGAGTTGGGTATGTTTAGTCTGGGAAAGAGAAGGCTTAGAGGAGACATGATTGCAGTCTTCAAGTAGTTGAAGGGCTGTCATGTAGAAGATGGAGCAGATCTATTCTCTCTTGCTCCGGATTGGAAGACTAGATCTAATGTGTGGACATTACAAGGGAGTCATTACCAGCTAAATATCAGGAGAAACTTCCTAACTGTAAGAGTGGTTGAGCAGTGGAACAGTCTGCCTTGGGAGGTGGTGGATGCTCCTCTGGACATTTTCAAGCGGAGGCTGGACGACCATCTTTTAGGTATGTTGTAGGGCTATCTTTCAGCTATGCTCCTGCAGAGTGCAGGGGGTTGGACTAGATGACCTGCAAGGTCCCTTCCAACTCTACCATTCTATGATTCTATGATCTTTATAGGTAAATATTGCAGCTTTTTGATACTCAAGCCAAAGTGGTTGCCTACTCCTCATCTGAAGAAGAAGAAGAGTTGGTTTTATACCCCACTCTTCACTACCCAAAGGAGTCTTGCAGTGGCTTACAATCACTTTCCCTTCCTCTCCCCACGACAGACACCCTGTGAGGGCTGAGAGAGTTCTGAGAGAACTGTGACTGACCCAAGGTCACCCAGCTGGCTTCATGTGAAGGAGTGGGGACTCAAACCTGGTTCTCCAGATTAGAGTCCGCCACTCTTAACCACTACACCAAGCTAGCTCTCCAGCTTGGTTTGTTCCATCTGGTTTGGGTCAAAGATATATTGATCTTAATAATTACTACAAAACGGTTTCATTTTCTGCACTGTTACTATAATACTAATATACCGCTTCTCTGAGGAGGCGTGTTTCCCACCTCACCAGCCTGCCTTTAGATTGGTAACTAAAATGGTTCTTTCTCTCCACCCCTGCTGTATAGGTGCAAGTTTTTCAGCCTGACAGAGACACCTGAGGACTACACAATCATTGTCGATGAAGAAGGCTTCCTGGGTAAGTTTTGCCGATAGTTCCTCAGATGTTTACTTCAATCGAAATGTTCACAGTTCGTTTGGCCATAGTTAACAGTTCATACTCTTTCACTTGAAGAAACCAAAAAACACACAAGTTACACCCACAAAGTCTATACCTGTGCTAAACGAAAGCTCTTATTTTATAACTTTTTTTCTAAAAGCCAGGAGGTAGGCCTGACCACTAACCAAGGTGATCACCAAGGGCGCCAGAGTTTGAGGGGGTGCTGAAAAAGCGAGAGGAGCCTTCTCAGCAGACCTGAAAGGAAGCTTGGAGTCACCCAGCTCCTAAAATCTCCATATCTGTTAACTCTGGTTTTCTACAGCTGCCATGATGGAACATGAAGGGCTTCTGAAGAGCTTATGTAACGAGGAGAAGAGGCATTCCAGACTTCTCACTTTGTTCTCTATTGAATGGGGCTGAAAAAGACATAGTTAGCCAGTTTGGTGTAGTGGTTAAGTGCGCGGACTCTAATCTGGGAGAACCGGGTTTGATTCCCCACTCCTCCATGTGCACCTGGCTGGATGACCTTGGGCAAGCCGTAGTTCTGATAAGAGCTGTCCTTGAAAAAGAGCCGTTTCTTTCAAGAGCTCTCTCAGCCCCATCTAGCTCCCAGGGTGTCTGTTGTGGGGAGGGGAAGGGAAAGGAGTTTGTAAGCCACTCTGAGACTCCTTTGGGTAGTGAAGGGCAGGGTATAAATCCAATCTCCTCTTCTCTTCATCTCTCTCTTCTATGGGATGGCCCTGAGAATAGGGTTGCCACTGTCCAGGCGGTGGCTGGACTTCTCCTGGTATTACAACTGATCTCCAGGAGACAAGAGATCAGTTCGCCTGGAGAAAATGGCCACTGTGGAAGATGGACTCTATGGCACGATACCCCATTGAAGTCCCTCCCCTTCCCCAAATCCCACCGTCCTCATGCTCCACCCCCAAAATCTCCAGGTATTTCCCAACACGGAGCTGGCAACCCTTCTTGAGGGTTCATTGTACTCAGGGCCAGCTCCAGCTTATTTTGCACCCTAGGCGAGGATCCCTTATGCCCCCCCCCCCGTGCGCCCACCAATTTTCAAAAATGAATGCATTTTAGGAAGAATAAAACCCACAAATAATCAAGAAACTCCCAGAGTACGGGGCCGGGTGCAGTTTGGTGCCCCTAAGGGCCATCCCGCTCTAGGCGATCACCTAGTTCGCCTAGTGAGTGAGCCGGCCCTGATTGTACTTGGGGTGGGATTAGCCCATCATAGGCCCTCCTGTTATAGACCTCTCCTCACATCACAAACCCATTTGAAGACTTTGTTGTTGTTGTTGTTCAGTCGCACAGTCGAGTCCGACTCTTCGTGACCCCACAGACCACATCACGCCAGGCCCTCCTGTCTTCCGTCAGGCTCCGGAGTTTGCTTAATTTCATGTCCGTTGCCTCGATAACACTGCCTAACCATCTCATCCTTTGCCGTCCCCTTCTTCTTTGACTTTCAATCTTTCCCAGCATCCAGTGAGTGCTCCCTTCTCATTTGGTGACTCATTTGAAGACTCACAGTTGTCTAATTGACTGGTCACTTGACCAGTCAATTATTTTTAAAGGATTAGCTTAATTAGAACAGAAGATATTTCCTCACTGACGGATTTGGTTTGAGAACCGAGAAAAGGGTAAGCAATCTGAGGGTTACAAAGAGGTTTATAGCGCATTTTTCTAAGCCGATTTGACTTCAGTGGATTCAGAGAAATGTAACTCTGTTTAGGATTGTATTCTCAGTCTGTGGACTGGTCCAATATTAGAATATTATCTTGGATGAGTATTTTTGTTGTTGTTTGTTTAATAAATACCCTTCCGTGGGTACGATACTTATTGTGAAACCAAATTAGATGAACAAGGAATCTGGCTTTGTACAGTTGTAATGAGTTATTGTAAACTTAAACAATGTTATAGTAAGGTCTCTGTAAATAAGAACAGCTGTGGCTTTAGGGTTTCCTACCTCCAGGCAGCACCTGGAAATCCAGTTGAACCAGGGCTTTTTTGGTAGAAAAAGCCCAGCAGGAACTCATCAGCATAATAGGCCACACCCAACAACAGAAACTCATTAGCATATCCAGCCACACCCACGTGAGCATAGCTCATTAGCGTATTAGGCCGCACCCCCATGTTACCAGAAGTGTAGTCATCCAGCCATACCCACCTTTTGCTTCTTATTCTGTTTACCTTGTTTGTGGTCAAAACCCAGGGCTTTTTTCGTAGCAGGAACTCCTTTGCATGTTAGGCCACACACCCCTAATGTAGCCAATCCTAATGAGTTTCTGCTGTTGGGTGTGGCCTATTATGCTAATGAGTCCCTGCTGGGCGTGGTCAACCTGGGACCCAGCCGGAACGCCGTTCCTGTGCGTTCCTGCCCAAAAATAGCCCTGAGTTGAACTATTACAGTTGATCTCCAGATGACCAAGATCAGTTCCCCTGGAGAAAATGGCTGCTTTGGAGGGTGGGCTCTGTGGCGTTACATCCTGCTGAGGTCCCTCCCCTCCGCAAACCCCGCCCTCCCCAGGCTCCACCCCCCCAAATCTCCAGGTATTTCCCAACTCCAAGCTGGCAACCCTAGCTGACCTGGATGGCCCAGGCCTGTTGTTTTACCAGGTGTCCAGTAGGAGCAGCTTTGCTCTGGTGCTAGACTATGGGCAGGGCTGCCCGCTCTGGGTTGGGGAATTCCTGGAATTTTTGAGGGTGGAGCCTGGGGAGGGCGGGGTTTGATGATGTTGATGAAGAACAACAAGAAGAAGAGATTGGATTTATACTTCGCCCTTCACTCGGAGTCTCAGAGCGGCTTACAAGCTCCTTTCCCTTCCCCTCCCCACAACAGACACCCTGTGAGCAGCAGAGGTCATTTCGGGGGGAACGCGGGGGAACGCAGTTCCCCCGGGTGAGGTGCGGGGGGCGGGGCACATGACGAAGCCCCGCCCCCTGCTTCCGGCCGCCCCGCTTCCAGCCCTCATTCAGCCAGGAGGAGGCAGGAGAAGAGGGAGGGTAAGTTGCTTCCTCTTCGCCTCTCCCCACCCCTGCCTGCCTGGGGCCAGGGAGGGCCTTCGCGGGGCTTCCTTGCACTCCCGCCGGCCTTGCAAGTCCACCGCTGGGACCCTCATGGGGCTCAGCAGTGGAGCTGCAAGGCCGGCAGTGGCGGCCAGGACCGTTGGGGGTGGGGTGTGTGGCCTTATGACACACTTCCGGTGATGTCAGGGGGTGTGGCCTTATGACACACTTCCGGTGATGTAAGGGGGTGTGGCATATGCTAATGAGTTATGCTAATGAGTTCCCCTAGCTCTTTTTCTACGAAACGACCCCTGGGAATAGTTAACTGTGGGCAAAAGTTGTTTGTTTTTATTTAAGGTATTTATATCCTTCCTTATCTCCTTGAACTCAAGGCAGCTAACACAGCAACAAGCAGTTGCGAGGACCCGCAAACAGCATAACAGGCTGTCGACCAGGTAGAAAAAAAAAACAGACAGGTTGAAAATACAGTCACATCTGTCAAAAGAGTTTACCCGCTACCAAATGCCCTCTGTGGTAAAAAGCTTCTCACACACCTCCTGACAGGCGGTGACTGAGGGCACCCTTCCTTCAACGATGAGTATCTGTTATTATTCCAGCTCATTTGTCAAACCAGTCTATGATTTAAAAACACTCAAATAAATAAGTATAGGCTCTTTTGTGATGATGTTTGTTACCCTCGATAAGGTAAGGCGAAGTGTGCCAGCAGGTCACACCCAGCTCATGGAGAGGATTGCCAGCTCCGAGTTGGGAAATACCTGGAGATTTTGGGGGTGGAGCTTGAGGAGGGCGGGGTTTGGAGAGGGGAGGGGCCTCAGCCGAGTACGGTGCCATACAGTCCGCCTTCCAAAGCAGCCATTTTCTCCAGGTGAACTGGTCTCTGTCAACGGGAGATCAGTTGTGATCCCAAGAGATCTCCAGCCACCACCCGGTGGTCAAATTCCAAAAACAACATCCGTGATAAAAATAACGAAGAGTCAATAAAGATACGTTACAAAAACATTTACTGTAGTAACTTCTGTAGAAAATTTTCTTCTATTATCGCTCACATGCTAACGAATACTGCGCACTGAACAATTTGTTTCACAATACTTGCTAGGGTTGCCAAGTGAGAACTGAGCTGCAGCGGGGGACTCCCAGCTTGCGGCTGGAGCACGCACAAAGCACGCGCGCACCGCATCCACGTCACCCGGAAGTGACGCGGGCATGCTGAGGGCGGGGCCACAACCATCCGAGGGGAAACCATAGAGGTTTCCCTCTGATGACCGTGGCCCTGCCCCCAGCGTGCCCAGCGTGGTCGCGTCACTTCCAGGTGAAGCGCACGTCGGGGTGGAGTTCCCCCCGGGGCCCGATCTGCCGGCGGTGGGAAATGGGCCTCTGGGGCGGGGGACTTGGCAAGCCTAATACTTGCTTTATCTGAGCGAGTAGCAATCCCAATTCTTATCAATTGCTACTTATCAACGCTTGAAGGAAACATTCCATGCTGACTCTCTAATAACAGAACCCAAGGTCTTCACCCGGAGGTCAGCAGCCATATGTCATGGGGTTCTCGAGGCAAGAGATGAGCAAAGGTGGCTTTCCATTGCCTACCTCTGCATAACAGCCCCGGTCTTCCTTGGTACTGGAAATACTGACCATGGTCAACCCAGCTTAGTAGCCAACCTCTGACCAGATCAGGCCAGTCTGAACTATTAGGGCTGCTGACCCTTGACAGAAGGTCAAAAGGTAAAGATATGGTCTCTTGTCACCATTTATTTACTATATTTGCTGCAAGTCACTCTTCCTAGAAGTTCAGGACAGCTGTTCATGGCCGGGGGGGGGGGGGGGCGCTATGCCTGACTTAGAGTTGCCAACCTTCAGGTGGCACCTGAGCATCTCCCACTATTACGATTGATCTCCAGACAACCAAGTTCCGTTCCCCCGGACAAAATGGCTGCTTTAGAGAGTGGATT